AATACTAATATACACATATATATATATATAAGATTCCTTTCATAAAAAATAATTAAATAAATTATATAACAGTTAAACAGAAAAAAATAAGATAATGAATAATAAAAAGAAATTTATATTTAATTCCTAAACATTTATTACTCTGTTGCAGCAGAAATATTTAACATACTATCAAAATAAGGAAAGTATGTATGTATAATATATATATATAATAAATATAATTATAATTCTATACATATATATATATATATATGTATACACACAAATTCATACTCTAAATTATGTTCTTTAATACTTTCTCCATTTAAAACGAGTATTTTAATTTATTATCTTCCAATGGAACAAAAATAAAAGCTGAGAGAAATAAATCAAACATTCTCAAATAAGTACAAAATATAACTAAACATCAACATGTATTTGTTTATCTCAAACATATTTGAGGTTTGCTTACATCGATTAATTGGTTTTTATTTAAAAATCAATTGATATTTATTTAAAAAGTAACCAGATAAAGACAATATGCATACCATATGTCTTAATGATAATTAAAAGAAGCCCAATTAACTCATGTATGCTTGCATTATAGACAGCGATGGAGTGAAGAACACAAGTATAATATAAGTAAAAAAGTATAAACAAAAAAGGAGAAAGCTAACGAAAATACATAAAAACAAAATGCATACACTTTGGCAGTCATAGTCATCTCACATAAGTGCCTTTCACATTTAATATCCATTTTTACTAATATAGATTAACTCCGTTTAAGTTAATTTTTACCTTTTTCTAATTCTTATAAATGAAAAAAGATAAAAATTAAATTAAATTGAGATTAACGTTAATCTATATCGGTAGAAATAAACAAAAATACGAACAGTCTGAAAATTTTCATGAAAATTTTCTCAAGTATTCATAAAAAAAAAAAAGACGTTTCCAGACCTCGTGAGGCGTATTTCCTACATGCGACAGCATTGCGTCAGGAGATTCGCGCATCCGGGCTCATCTCCAAAAGATAAAAAGAGAAAGAGGGAAAGGAAGGAGTAAAGGTGAATATGTATAGGTATATACGTGCGTGGGCGCGCGCAGAAGTGGAAGGGAGCGAGAGAGAAAAAGAGAGAGAGAGTAAAAGAGAGGGAGAGATGAAAGAAGCGCGAACGCGTCAAAGCGATATGTCATAACGGACTCTGTAAAAAATATGAGAGGACAAAGTCAAGTCCACACAGGCATATATATAAGAACGAAACGCCAGCTTCCACGGCTACCGTTGTTGCTGCTGTTTTTGCTGCCATCATTCTACGCTCTCTCTTTCTCTCTCTCTCTCTCTCTCTCGCCTGTTTACTCACCAGCATCTTCTAGGTCTCCACAACGTGGACGTTAAACTCGATCGGATCAGAAGCACTAGCGAGACATTAGAACGAACGCACATAGAACTTGCATCGTCCTGTACGTTCTTACTGTTTTGATTGTGAGGCAAATAGAACTTATAGAACGCAAGCAGATCAGCACTACGGCACAGACTGCTGACCCGTTTTAAGAATATGACACTTTCCGTAATACTCCACGACACAAATGCGTACGAGCTTCTGTTCTCAGCCCATTTCCCATCCTAATGAGACTATTTATCAGCCGACTTGGCCAGTCTCATTGGGTCATGATGCGACGATCTTGTAACGTCGTCACATCGAAAGGAAAGAACTGGTCGGAGCACGCAACAGCACGCAACAACGTATGCGACGTAGAAAACCGCACTGAACTGTACAGCACCGTACAACACCGTACTACGCGGACTACCACCGGAAGCCAAACGACGAACCACACCCGGAAGTAACGGGCGACTTTTTTTTTCGTCCGCGCGACCGCCGTCTGCGCGAAAAGCAAATGCACGCCACTCGAAGAGATTCGATACCGAAACGGCGCGACGCATATGCGCCTTCACCAGGGACCTGCCAGGGACGTGTCACAGCGATGGAATGGCGGGTGCTTTACGTCGGGCTCGAATAGAGATCCTCAGTAGACCGATGGCTCCTACACACTGGACGCGGAAATGCTTATGCGGGGTCTACAATAGAAGTCGTAGGGTCTCAAGTCGTAGAAAATTGACC